TCATTTTATTCTGATATATTTCAATAGGTATTCCTAAAAGATAATGATTTTATACATACACATTAATATTACCAAACTCAAATTTTAAAAATTATTTTCTGCTATTAAGAATCATCAGTGCTCAAATTTCCAGTTGTTTCATAAGTGTTATATTGTTTTCCAGTTTTTTCCTTTGAACGAGAATCCAAATAAAGCCCACAACTTGCAGTTTTTAAAAAATAAATCATTTTCCTACAAAGTTTCCCACACTCTGGATTTTGCTGATTGTGTCTCCATGATATAGTTGAGTGTGTTTGTCTCTTTTGTGTATTTAGTAAATTGGTAGTTGAAGAGGAGATCTGATCTAATTAGGCTCCTTTTTGTTTTTTGTCTTTGGTCATATGTTTTTCCATTAGGAGGCAAAAATCTAATTGCTTTCTTTTTTTTTTTTTTAATTTCAAGGTATTACAGGGGCGCAAATCCTTTTGGTTACATGGATTGCTTATATAATGCTTGAATCATGGTTATAAGTGTGCTGTCACCCAGATACTGTCCATAATATCGGTTAGGTTTTCGCCCATCCCGCCCTCCCTGTACCCTCTGCTTGATTTCCATTAAGTTTTACTTCCCTCTGTGGACATGTATGCCCATCTAATTGCTCTCTTTTCATGATCAATCGCTAATTTATTAATTCATTAAGCATTATAAAACAATGATAGTCTTATTATATTTTTTCTTCTTTATTATCTGGAATATATTTTTAAAGAGAAACTTCTCTTATTTACTGTTTGATTACCAAGTGCTACAGTTTATGTAGAAAAGGCACGCTGAATTCTTAATTCGTTATCTTTACTTTCTATTTTTAAAAATAATCGATTGGATTGCTATCATCCTCCAGTGATGACCAATTAATTTGTTGTTACAGTTGTTACAGCTGTTGTTGTTACAGTTGTTACTGTTTAGTGTTATATGTTCCATTCCATTGCAGTTATTATCCTTCTTGGTTATTGGATTGTCCCAGCTTTGGCCAATGCATCCTCCTCAGTATTCACTCATGAGTGCTTTTGACACAACCGTAGTAGGCTTTACTTACTTCCTTGCTACCTGCTCTGAAAAGATGCCTCAGGATCTTTTTTATTTTGCATCATACTTATAATAGCCATATCTCTAAGGCACTTTACTTCCTTTTGTTAG